TGCGACGACGGCGTTGTGTACAGCGATTGACATGGCGGTGATTGAGGCGAAGAAAGCTCGAGCTCGTGGAGGAACTCGAGGAGAAGAAGCTGTTGATGAGAGTTGGAAATGCGTTGGATTGAAGATGAGTAGTGGGATTTGAATGGAGACGAAGCTTGGCGACAGAGATTGCAGGGTTTGCATTGATGTAACGATGGGTCTGTATTATTGGCATTTTCCACACAGAGAGACAGAGGGCCGGGCCTTGCTGGTAGTGAGGGTTTTGTGAGAACTATAACCGCCAAACCTACATGAATTTTTTTCCTTAAGGTTGTGTTTGGTGGGTAGAAGTTTTTTTCATTTTCCTTTTTTTTTTTTTTTTTTTGGTATTAACAAGTTTAGGTCAAGGAGGCTACCAGTTCAAACAAGGCAAGTCTTAGGAGCACTTACATTAGGATGTATAAAATACCGTTTAATCTTTTAAAATCGTGTCAATTCTTATTAATTTGCACCATTTTATCCGTTAATTGTGAATTATGTTAGGGGATATATAACAAAATAAGAAAAAGAGAAGAAAATAGCCTATGTGATTGTGAGAGACACGTTAAGATGTTGTCCTAAGAGTCGTTAATATTCTCTCCGTGCAGGTTTTAACGATCACAAACGAGTCCAAAATACAATCCAAAACTTTAAGATCTGACACAATGCACAGTTACATTAGAAGAATTTGCTAAGAATGTATCAATTACCCAGAAATATGAAATATAAAAATACAGAGAGAGAGAGAGAGAGAGAGAGAAAGAGAAAGAAGAAAAACAAAGAACGTTGTATATTTTTTCCCAAAGTTAGAGTCCTGTATAAAAAGGCTCTATGGTGTCTGTTAGGAACAGACACACCTATTGTCTTTAAACCAAACATATATTCAAAATTCAAATAAATAAGACTATTAAAATAAATAAATAAAAAATAAAAAATATAATAAAAAATAAAAAAATAATTTAAAGTTTTGAAACTTTAGAAAATCTCTAACAATCCCCCACAAGATCAAAAACTTTGTAAACTGTTAAATAATCAAAACAAACAACAACAATAATAATTAATAATAATAATAATAATATAATAAGAGGGTAACTTTAAACCATACAATGGGTGAGATGTTTTTCAAACTTAACCTCACTTAGTATTAACAGTTTCATTCTGAAAGAATCTTAGTGAACCAGGTCTTGAACTAATTCCCTTTTATCAGAATTCAACATGTCACACATATAATTCCCCAAAAAAACATGTCCACTATGGATAAAACTAATTGTAGCTGAGTAGCACATTAGACCAGATCTCTAAGTGAATTTCCTAAATTTCCTAGAGTGTATATTGTGTGGTGAGATTTACTGGCAAGTCACATCAGAAAATTGATGTGACTTGCCAGAATTCAACACACTGTAGACTTAGGAAACTTAGGGAAAATCACTCTAAGGATCGTCCTATTAGCAGCCATGTGCTCAATCTTGATTCTCATAAGAGTTTTAGGAAATATCCCTTCCTACGATCGTGGCTTCACGACGCTCTCACTTAGGTGAATCCTCACAGATAAGTAACGATGTCTATCTGCACGAGTATGCCCATCTCGGATTCATTTAGAGTAAATACTCTTTCTTAACATCACATTTACATCAGCACTGATATCTTAGGGATGACAAGAGAATATAAATAATAAATTTAATAAAGTCTCATTCTTTAAAGTGTTGGAATACGAGTCACACAATAAAGATTGTTCCTACTTGTTGAACTTTCTTCATGGGATCTCCAATCACATAAGTCGTTTACTTTCTTAGTTGACTCCCTATGAGCTTAGACCCATCCCCCTCGATAAATCTAAGACTACACTCTTACATAACTTTTTGTTAACTGATTAGCTGTCACGATCCGAACTCGACCCTATGAGTTTAGCATCATGACCCAGTAATCCTTGGATTACCAATGGCCTCCTGACAGATTAACATATATTAAGGGGCTGCGAAAGCAAATGTACAAAACATACAAAGCCCATTGAACTGTGAAGACGTACATGGGACAAATAATTTAAATACCCTTTTAAGACGTATGAGTGACGACAAGGATACAATATTTACACATCACTCTATCAGTATGTTATCAGTAATCTTGTCCAAATATTACATAGTATAACATAGCCTAATATGTTTACAAAAACAGCCATAAAAAATTGACTTCATTCGGATCTCCTCGGGAGGCGCAAGGGTTGTCTGACAAAAACAGAACTTAGGTCGTTAACTCTGGGCTTGGTCGTGTGCCTGCTCACCTACATACATAATATAAAAAGTGAGCTAAAGCCCCAGTGAATAAAACACAGTAAAGACTTTAATGAATTATGTCCCATAACTATGGCTGAACCTGAATTCATATTCATATCTTATTCTGAGCATATATAGAATCAGAGTTCATGTTTAGTCTTACATAATACATCCATCAGCGCTAATAGATCACACACAGAATATCTTAAATCAGCTTGTCAGTTCTATATAAGAACCTCCGGCCCGGTAAGAATAACTTGTCAGTCCCATGAAGGGACCTCCAGGCTGGGAACTTGTAAACTTGTCAGTTCCACTAAGGAACCTCCAGCCGGGGATAGATGGCTTGTCAGTCCCATAAGGGACCTCCGGACCGGGAACTTGCATATATTTGAATCATAGCATTATGTCATAATTGCTTGTTAGACTTGGACAATCATTCATAGCATAAAACATAACATTTCATAAAACAGTTCTTAATCCTGAGCAGAAATAATTTACTTGAACATAACTTTACTAAGTTATTACTGACAGATAATAGGCGTCGTGTCACACCCCAAAATTTAGACAATTAAATATTAAATTAGGACTAACCCCAATAAATTCCATCATCCAAATCTTAGAGGTGAAGCAAAAAAAAATAAAAAAAACAACGCCAACCAAACCATCCATATAATTTCATAACTATCAAATACCTCAAACAATTAAAGTAGCAACAATTAGTCAAAACAACTTAATAAAGTACGGTTACAAACCATGCAAATTATTCCAACACTAAAGTCATAAAAAAATAATAAATACATAAACTATTAACAACCCTAAACTCAAAATAACAAAAAGAATCCAAACGACATGCCCTACGATCATAGTTATTTCTTGTCACCACCATAGCCTCAACTAATCCTCAAAGGAAACTCAGCTGCGTTCAAACAGAACGCACCCGAGTTGCCAAGAGACAAAACGGGTCAGTAATAGTATTGGTATGAGTACAAGATTCAACACCCGCGTATCCACCAGACACAACAAAAATACATTAATTCTTATTACATGACAAGACAAGTAGTTCCAACCGCACCGAGACGAATGGATAGTTTCCCAAGATACGATGGCATTTAGTTTCTTATCCGTATACAACGAAATATAAATTTATTATAAAATAAACAAAATAGAAATAGAAATATGGTGGGTCAGCTTTGTATAAAAAGTTAGTAAGACCCACCATCCGCAAAAAAAAAAAAAATGTTATATAAATTAATCATAAGTAACTTGCTGAATACGTATAAAAATGCACCGCTTCCTGCTTATAATTTGAATTGACCAAAACTCAAAGAAAACGAAATTGTATAGAATCAAATTTTCTAAAAACTACGGACAAATTTAACAAAAACTGAACAGGTTAAGAGAAAAACTTGATCTAAAAATCTAAACGGAATTCAATCGAAAATCTGAAGCTGAAAAAACAAAAACTGCCTAAGATGTTTTTTTGAAAAAGTTAAAAACATGAAAAGTGTGCAGAATAATATTTACTTAGTTTTCGCGAAACCAATAAAAATGAACTCGTTTCTGGTTAAAACAGCCTATAAAATCTGCATTACCAAAATGAATCAACCGACAATAACCAAGATTATCCGATTATAAGTTCTAATCGATCTTTTTATAAAAAGGTACAACACAAAAGTTGTCTAAAATCACGTATACATGCCTCTCCTCAAATTCATAATTTATTGAGGTCAATTACTATTTTTTAAGATGTACAATCAATAAACTCATAATTAAATTTTTGTACCTTAACTCCACACTTCGGCCCTCCCTTCCGGCCTACACATAATATACATGTGCCTCCCGTATACTAACACCGCTCTGAAGCCAAACTTGCACGGGGATATCGTCCCGAGTTTGACTCACACTCCCTGGATGGTTAGCATATACGTGCGCGTGCAAATCAAGAACACTCTACTCATGAAAACAAGGCAACAATATATATATATACACAAATCTCATAATGAGAATAAACATAACAATGCCAAGCTTAAGGCATTCAAATAAATCTCATAATCCTCACTTTTTTTATACACTCTTTCTCACCATTACTCAAATAAAACAACAATTCATGGAGTATGTGGAGAATAAGGAATTTATCTATGGGTTCCTAATTAATTTTAAATTTCATATAACCATGAGTGTGATTACAATAATAAATAAACCATATAAAAACCCTAAACCTTACATACACAACTAAACAAAATAATTAAAATCAATCAATCATCTATAACCCTAAATCTACATCTACAAACTAAACAAAATAATTAAAATCAATCAATCATCTATAAACCCTAAATCTTACATCTACAACTAATCAAAATAATTAAAATTAATCTATCATCTTTATGGAAAACAAAATCAAACTAACATCAAACAATAAAAATAATAAATAAATAAAACACACGAATAAACATAAATCAAGGGAAGTGGATTTGTACTCACAATATTATTTTGAAGATCAAAGAAATATTTGAAGAACTAATGGAGCCACAAAAAAAAAAACATATAATCTTTTTTTATTCTTTTTCCCCACCTTCTTCCTCTGTTCCTCTTTCACAGCACACACAACAACACACACACACTCTCTCTCTCTCTCTCGCGCCGTTCCTGCCCTATTTCTCTTTTTTTTCTTTCTTTCTTTATTTTCTTATCAACTTCTCAACCTAGTTGATTACATATTATATTTATATATATATATATATTAATATAAACCTAAATCTCATACATAATAAACCTTTTAAATTATATAATATTATACAACATAATTAATCTAAATATAAATATAAATATATATATAAATAAAATATATATCTATATATATAACACCTCTTTTTTATATATAACAAATATAAATATATAAATATTTGGATTAATTAAATAACATATT